GCCCTCGCCCCGCAAGCACGCCCGTGCGCCGTCTCCGCCGCCGCCACCGCCACGCCTCGCAGCCGCTGCCAAGCTGCGCAAGCAAGCGGCCAAGGCCCGGGCCGCGGCGGCCCAGGCGCCGGCCCCGCAGCCGCCGCCGCCGCCGCCGCCCGTCCCTTCGCGGCCGGCCAAGGCTCCAGGGGGCAGCATCAAGCTGCTCTTCAAGGCACGCTCCGCGTCACCAGCCCCCGAGTTGCCCGCGGACGGCGCTGCAAGGGTTGACGCGACGCCGGAGGCGCCTGACGCGCCACAGGTGGCCGCACAGGCGGCGGTCGCAGCAGCAGCGGCGCCGCCAGAGGGGCCGCCGCAGCAGAGTCCCGGCAGCAGCAAGGACCCGGCCATACCCTGGGTTGACAGCAGCAGCTGCTGCAGCAGCAGCTTCTGTGGCACGCCCACCGCAGCGGCTGCCTGCGTGGCAGGCGCCTGCGGCCTGGGATTTGGGGCTGACGCGGAGGGTGCCCTGGCGGCAGCGGCGCTGAAGCTGCCTCAGAGGCAGCGTTCTACCGCCAGTTGCAGCACCAGCAGCCGCCGCAGCAGCAGCGGCACGGGCGACGCGCCGGCCGGCCCGGACGCGCCGCCCTGCCGCGGCGCGCGTGTCGGCTGCGCGGGCGGCTGCGGCTGCGTGCGGGACGACACGGCAGCGGCGTTGCGCGGCGTGTCGGACACAGGCAGCGTTGCTTCGGTGGCGGAGGAGGAGCCGCAGCCGCAAGCTCGGCAGTGTTTTGGGCGGCCTGTGGGGCTGGGGCATGGCAGAATGCTTGACCAGGGGGCTCCCAGCCTGACTGTGTGGCTGCCGGGCGGGACAGGGTCTGCTACGGCGGCGGCATCAGGAGCGGCGGCGGCGGCGGCGCTGAAGCTGGCGCCCCCTCAAGGCCCATGCGCCGCGGGCCCGCTCCCGATGCTCGCCGCCGCCGCCGCCGTCGCCGCACCGCCGCCGCTAGCCCCTACAGAGCCCTGGCGGCCGGCAGCATCAGCCGCGGACGGCTCCGGCGCCGGCTGCGCCGCGGCGGCCGCCGCGGCGTCAATGGCCGCAACGGCGGCAGCGGCGGCGCGCGCGTGGGGCAGCGGCTGCGGGGACGCCGGGGCGGCCCAGCGGGCAGAGGAGCAGCTGCTTGGCAGCTACCAGCTGTTTGCTGCGTCACCCTGGGGCCTGGGGCTGCCGGCTGTGGGGATGGCAGCGGCGGC